AGTGCCTTGTCCTTAAACTTGAGTTTGACATTGGCATATATATGCCTAATACAGAACCCGTGTTCCATCCCAACAAACAACTCATCAAATGTTTGTACTAGACCCTACAAAACAACAATACCATTGATCAGATTAGGTTTAATTATACAGCAGTAACAAACTAATATGAATATTGGAAAAAAGTAAATGGTAAGTTTAACTTTAGTATGTCAGAAATCAACACCCAATTCATGATGGCAAACAAATACGAGTAGTCAGAAGTTCTAGAAACTAATGCCAGCTTTCTTTACATTCAGATTCCACACATGCCATTACCATAGGATATATCTAATTGTTTCCATCTCTCTTAATAGCACACATTAGATGTCCCCCAAATCTTCCATTGAGATGGCAAGTATTTAAATCAATAACCGGTCTACATCCAATGGCAAATCCATTCTTTTGTGCCCTAAGCATAACAAACATTCTCTAAAATAAGGATTGACAGAGGCTAGAACAACTTCTATCATTACATAAGTTACAGAACTCGAGTTTTTTGGCATAATGGTTGTACAATAATTTATGAGTATAGAATATTGTTTCTTATGATTCCTACTTTCCATCTAGAAACTCTTAATTTGAAATTTCTTTTAATCGTGTTTCGAAATCCCTTAAGTCTGTAGCCAGGATCATCAACCAATTCCTTTTTGAAGTATTTGACCAACCATCTAGAATTTGCACTAACATGCTTAAAAGACCAAGGACACCTATGAAGGTTGCTCTTTATGCTCTTGACCTGTAATGCTTTAGTTTACCTATAATAAATTGCATATGTCCTCCAACCACATTCCTTTTTACATATTGCAATAATTTTGTTACTATTTTTTTTTTCAATTTCAGCTCAAAACCTTTGAGGAAGGAATACATCTAAATTGCCTTCCTGAACATATGTGTGGTTGTGAAAATGAGGCCCACCCTAATTCGTATCACTCAAGAAATTGTTATCTATTTTTATCATTAAAGGATTGAATGGCAGTTTTTAGTACTTTAGCATTAACAATATTTTCATGCTCAACAAACTTACCTCTTTCCTAATCGCAACAAAGGCTCTATACTCATCATTAATTAATTCAGCATCTTGTTAGTACTCTCCTAAGTTAATATTGTTGTCCATCCCACTAGTTACCTCACTAATATCATCACCAATATCACAACCATCACTTAATGTGTCCCCATCTAAGAAAAAATCAAAATTTGAGTTATATTTAGAAGATTGCTCACTTTTAGGTGTGTATGATTCATCAAATTTTATTTCTGATTTATTTATATCGTGGTCAACCTCTGATTCAAGATTATTATTCACCCCACTAGCCCTTAAACCACGATTACCATTCCCAACTCACTTATTAGCATTCATATTGTCATTACCTACAATTCCATTATCATCTTGCTCATCCCCATTATCATTGATCTTTCTAACATGGATACGAACATGTGGTTCATCTATAAACATCCTAAACATTTCTGTGACTGTCGCTTTACTATTTAATAAGGCAAATTCACAATCTAACATTTTATAACAAACCTTTATAGGCAGTTGTAGTCCTTTTAGCATCTCTCAAATATCAAATCTAGACATAAAATCTGGGTCAATATCATTAAAATATTTTATATTCCTACCCGCATATGTTAGTCCTGGATTATGTACAAAATGAACCCCATAATGGATTTTGAATGAGAACTAGAGTTGTAAATGAACCGAATCAAACTAAATATCTCATGTTTGACCTTTGTTCGTTAAACTACTCAAACAAGGCTTGTGTTCGTTTGATAATATTCAAACTTCAAATTTGTATTCTTGTTCAGCTCGTTAAACAAAATCTGTGTTCGAGTTCAAAGTCGAGATCAGTTCGTTTAACACAAATGAGTCGTTCCTGAACAGGCTCGAGATGTTCAAATCCACTCTTTCTCTCATAAAATTGATACAATTTGCCTGTCTATAGTATTAACTATTAAAAATGACAACAATCTAAACTCCACTAATCCAGTCTTGGCATGCAGCATAAAATAAAAATATGTCATATAAATCATCCCCATAAACAACTAAATCACTAAGTCATTCCCATAAATCCCGTCATTCATTAACTACATGACAATATAACATAGAGATAATCAACAAAGTAACCGTCACGCCCCATTTTTCACGATGGAAAAAAGGATTTATAAAAGATGAGATTTTATTTAAAATAAGTGAAAAGAATATGTGAAAAGGGACCTAAAATGGGACTTTAAAAAATGCGACAGTTTGGGACCAAAAATTTAGTCAAAAGGATTTTAAGGAAAATAGGAGTCGCCACTTGATATTGAATTTGGGTGTACCAAGTCACCCCAAAAATATTTTTTGACAAAAATAAAATAAAATAAAATCCTTTTCGACAACTCCAGGTCTTTGAAAAACAAGAGAAAATGGGTTCGAGAGTCACGGTTGAAAAAAAGAAAGGCAAAGGTTCGATTAACTCAAACCTAAGGCATCCTTTTAATCTAGTGTAAGTTAGTGGCGAGATTTAGTCAAAATTTTCCTAATCTAACCCTTAATTTTATCACGTTTGGTTGTTTTCTACATGGATGCAAATCTAAATTTATAAAAATGTCGAGAGGGACAAAATATCCATTCAAGAATTTAATTGGTACCAATCGCATTAATTGCGAAGGCCAAAATAATTCCTCAAATGGGTCACGAGTATGCGAATGATGAAATTAAAAGAAAAAAAAGTTAAATTATATATATAGGTATAAGTGACCAAAGTATAGGATTGCAATATAATGGGTACGGGAAACAAAAACTCGTAACATAATTTTCTTATACAAGGATCGATGGGGTATTTAAACTAAAGAGTTATAATCACCCATATCCATGTTCAAAGAATAATTCTCCTAATATGAACAAGCAAATGAACTAACTTATTCTACAATTTCATAAATAAGATGCAATTCTAAATGATATGATTAACACAGATAGAGGATAAAGGATAATATAATAGGGAATATCATGCAAATGAGAAAAGATCCTGAAAATGAAAATATACATGAAAATGTAATGAATATCACACAAAGATGAATCTAATACATGAACAATCTAAGGGTCTAACATTGGATTAACCCATTTCTAAAAGTCCGTACTAGCATTGGACTAACAAGTAAACAGAGGGAGAAGCCACAACTAGCGTTGGACTAGTGTGATGATGTCATGCATTAATAATACATAATAAAACAAATAAGGCATAAATTAAAACAAATAAACACATAAGAGCACATAGCACGTAACACGTAAACATAATATCTAGATGCAAAAATCTTTTAAAAAGCGGATAAAACATATAACGCATAAACCACATAAACACACAACCTACCTATTACATCGGGGAGCCTATCTACAATCTAAATGGGGAAAGTATGAAATAAATCTATCTATCCTATCTATTACATTGGTCTATCTAATTACAATTTTTGTAAAAAAAAATATTACCTATCTATTACATCTTGAGGTATTTAAACACCTCTCAAATAATTAAAAAATTAACTAAACAAATATAAGAGAATTTGAATAAACATTTGAATCAAATAAATAACAAAACATATAAAAATTATATAGACACATAAGAGTACGTAATTGACATTTAAATGATAATAGGGGTACCTCCCTTTTGAAGTGGTGACTAAATGGAAGTCAAACTGCCCTATTTATACTCAAAATGAACAAAAGAATCATGACACCAATTTAATTGAAAATAATAATAATGATAAAAATACTAAATTCACATTAATATGTCAAATATAAAGAAACTTAAGAACATCTAAAAATTACAAGTTAAATATATTCAAAAGTAACACAATTAGCTATTAAAAAAATCAAAATAAAAAGAGTCAAAATTCACTAGGAACTAAATTGCAAAAAATTGAAAAACTTTTGAGGTTAAAAATATAATTTTCCAAAGTTTAGGGATCAAAATTAAATAAAAGATAAAGTTCAGGGGCCAAAGTGCAACTAATTTAAGAGCCTAAGTGAAAGAAATTTAAAATATTCTGGGCCACGGTAAAACTACTCCAAGATCAGGAGCTAAAGTGAAAATTTTAGTTTTTGATTTGGGCAAGAAAAAAAGGACATTAGGCCGGATACTACCTAAGCCCAACCGAAACCCAAAAGAAAAAAGTGGTCCAACCCATCCTTTTATCACTCAAGCTCGACCAAAAAAGCATGCACGCTGACCTCCTAACTCAAACCGAAACCCAAAAGAAACAAACCAAAATCCATCCCCAAAACCCAACAACAAATAACCATAAGCCGACTAGGAAAAAAAACATTTAAGCGTTTGGTATCCCATAGAATTGGGGTTTAGAATTGGAATTGGAACCCCAATTCTAATTCTTGTGTTTGGACGCTGCATTTTCCATAGAATCAGCATTGAATTCTAATTCCAAGAGGTTCCAATTCCACAATCTTAATTCTTTGCCGGACCAAAAGAATTCTAATTCCAATTCCACAGCTGAATTCCTAATCGGGTCGACACGCGGGTCTTCTTCTAGTAAAAACTAAAAAATGGGTCAACAATAAAACGGATGGAAAAAACGCAAACCTCTCTCCTTCCCTTTCAATTATCGATGGCCATATCAGAAGCTCTGATGGAGCATTCTTCGTCGCTGCCGCCGCCTCCTCCTCCAATTACGCTGAGATAGAGGCACTTTTGCTGCCGCTTCCACCCCTCCATGCCCCACTCCCTGCCTTTTGCACAACTCAAGTTGAAATTTTGGGGTTCCAATTAGTTTCTATTAGTCTTTTCCTTCCCCTCTTTGTGTTGACTTGTGCCTCCACCTCCGCTGGCCTGGTGTTGCCCACCTTTGTCGTCACCGCACATTCTCTCATCCTTCCTCTCCTGGATCGCTAATTCCTCTCTCCCTACTATTCCAGATTTTCCAGATAGATTTAGAGCTTACGAAGGTAACATCAAAATTTAATTTTGTCTGTTTTCCGGAGTTCCCTCAGCTATTACGGATAGATGATCACTCTGCATCGTGGCTACTCATAGCCCTTTTGACAAATCCACATCAACTGAAGACTCACCGCAGCTGCACAGCTAGTTCTGATCGGTAAATGGGCTCACTTTTTCTATCATTTACATTATACTGTTATGGGCCAAGTAATGGGCAAAATAATCCGTCTTTCATGTCTTACTTAATGTCACTTCCTGTTTGTTTAAATGCTTCAGTGAAGAGCGACCCCCTGTTCTTCACTGTGTTTTGGAATTATGACATATTTCGAACTCTTACTTGATCTGGGTTGTTTTTATTCTTCACAATCTGCCAAAATATTGCCTCTGCTTCTGGCGTTTAAACATCTCCTATCCTAGTAATTCCTCAGCCTATCATGGTTAATTACAGGTTAGTGCCATCTTCTCGCTATTGATGGGACCATTAGCTTACACCAATATATAACTATGTCCGGACTTTTCTGTTTCTTTCTTTTGTTGCAGTGTGCTGGAAAATCCTTACCAGTAGAAACACCAACATATATGAGCTCTGAAGCTACAGAAGACTCCAATGCATACGAGGCTTCTGATCATGGGAACTTGGAATTTCATGAAGATTTATGATGTAGGTTAATGCAAAACCATACAACATATTTGGCCGTCTGGAAGTGGCAATGTTCGTCAGTTGTAGATGCAAGCACATTGTTTTCCATTCTTGTTTGTACAGAAATCAAATTAGTGTAATATGTTCCAGGTTTTAATTTTGGGGTAATTTCATATGGAGGATGCCATCCTGCATAGCAAGAAAAACAGAGGAATGATTTGTATTTACCCTGTAGACTGGGTTTAAATAGTATGGATTGCATGTTTTAGTTGTATCTGATAACAGAAAAACATCAATAATATTTGAGATCTAATTATTATGTTAAGTGCTTATGGATTTTAATTAGGTTGTACAGTTAACCTTGACCCTATGTGTCAGAACAAGAAGGTGTATGTATGTTTTTGGAAATGTTCACCAAAGAAATTGATATGAGAGTGGGAAAAAAATAAATTATTAAAGGCACAAATTGGTTCTTTCTTTTAAATCTTTAGTAAAAATTAGCTAAATGTAAGAAAAAAAGAAATTATTATATAAAAAAGAAAAAAAAAGAAAAATTTTATGTAAGCAAATGTTTCATGAAAACAATTCTAATTCCTAATGAATTCTTCTCTCATACAAACAAAGAATTTGGAATTTCAAATAAATTCCGTATCAATTCTATGCATTTCCCAAACGAAAGAATTGAAATGACTTGGAATTTCAATTCATAGAATTCCAATTCTATAGAATTTCAATTCTAATTCAATTCTAATTCTGTAGAACCAAACGTACCCTTAGTCCAATCCTTTTTCTTTTCTCTTCTTTTTCTTTTCTTTCCTTTCTTCTTCCTCCCCTTCCGTTTCTTCTTCTTCTTGCCTAGCAACCTGAAGCTCCTCGTAGCTAGTGGCCATGGCGGCATCTGGCGGTGTCACTGCTGGACCGCCGCCAGCAAATTTTTCGATCATCAAATTTTCTCAAAATACACCACCTCACTCAATTTTTCGCGTAGATTCCATTTTTGAGTTTATTTTTTTACAAAAAATGAACCGAAAGTGGCGAAAATAGCAAAAGACAGCCCAATTTTTATTATTTTCAAATCACCATATCTTTTACAAAAAAAAAATAAAAATTATACTACAACACTCCTTATAACTTCTACATTACAACTATAATCTTATTTTTGACAAGAAAACAACAACAAAAGTCTAAATTAAGGCAAAACAGCCCCTAATTTTGAAAAAATTCATTCCTTGCTTTTGAGGTTAAAACTCAAATTGTGGACAATCAAACATATTTTTCAGGCCCTGTACTAGCTATGGGTCATCCATTTTAACAAAACTATGCATACAAATTCACTAATTTTGATTCTTTTTCATTTTGACATTTTTTTCAAACAGTTAATATGCATGTACAAAAACCTCTCTTCCTTAATCTAGCTCAAGCCATTTCCCAACAACATAATGATAACAAAACTAGCAAGAGAAAAAAACAAACTAACGTCTAGACATGCTTATAGTACGGGACATAAAGAACTTGAGTGACCAAGGAAAATTTCAGCACCAACTTTGAATTTAAGGCAAGGAACAGTAAGGAAAAAGCAAAAATGAGAGCCTTACCTTGTCTTGCAGTGGAGAAATTACACAGCGGTAGCAGCAATGGCGATTGTTGATGATGATAACCTCCCCTACTTGTTTTCTTAACCCTTCCTTTCTGTTTTCTTTTCTTTTCTCCTTGTACCCGAGAAAGAGGAATTGGGGGTTGTTGTTGGTGTTGAGAGTTTATGTGAAATTGGGAGGGGGAGAGCAGAGAGTGATTTGGGGCTTTTTCTTAGTTGTTTGATGGTGTGTTTGTCTCTTATGTGTGTTTTTGAGAGAGGATGTTGTGAGTTGAGAGCAAGAAAACCAAATGGCCGAGAGAGTCTTCTGGAGTGGAGTCCTCTTTTCCTAGTTCTCTGATGGTGTGTCTTCTATTAGGAGAAATAAGAAAAAATCCAAACAGTCAATTGAGGGAAGAGTTGGAGTGTTAGGTTGGTCCAAATGATAGTTTTTTACCAAAGACAAGAAAGAACCATGGGATAAAAATGATGAAATTTTCAACTGAAAAGAAAAGTCAAAAAAATTGAGTGTAGGAATGGGTTAATAATGATTTTGGTAGGGAAGATGATTAAAATGTGTAAGTTTAGTCATGATTTGATTTTGATTTTTTGCTTTTGATTTTGATTGAATTTTTTCATAATTTTCTTTTCTTAAAATAAACCTACAAAAAATAAGAAAAAATATACATTAAAATGAAAGAAAATAAATGACTCATCACATAAAAATTTGACAAAAATTTGGTAAAAATTTAGTGTCTACAACTTGCCACTCTTTGTCTAAAGTTTCGAAAAAACTCAAGACAAAGACGTAGACACCAAAATGCTTACCTGTTTGTTCTAACTGCACCTGAGCTAAAACAACAAGCCAACATTTGGTTATAATTATTGGGCAAAAATGATGCAATAATGTTGCAAAAGACGTGACCAGACTCGTATAGAGTTGCCTACGTATCCCATCATGAAAATTAGGTCAAACGTAGTTCGAATACAAGTGAACCACAATGAAACAAGGACATTGACCATGTGTGATCTTTGCAAAATCGAAGAAATCTGAGCTCTCAAAACTTCTAAACATGAAATACAAAATGAATGATAAAACACAATTATTAATCAAAATAGTCAAGAAAGGTGGGTTGTCATGATTTAGAACAAGATGCGCGGAGAGAGACAGTTACGCTCCAAGAAGGGAGGCAAAAGGGTGTGCGGTGGACGCTGAGACTCGCCAACAGGAAATTAAATTTGATTGTTAGGAAATAACATATTGGTAGGATAAGACCCGAACCTAATGCAAACAAAAACGATCGGTGGGATAAAATTGAAACCCGCCATGGTTGGTAGGATACAATCTAATTCAAATAAAATAAACGGTTAGTGGGATAAAGCTCGAACCTGTCGAGATTGGTGGGATACAACCCGAGCCCAATAAAATAAAACAGTCAGTTGGATAAAATCTGAACCCGCCGAAATTGGTGGGATACAACCCGAGTCCAATAAAATAAAACAGTCAGTGGGATAAAATCCGAGTCTGCCGAGATTGATAGGATACAACCCGATCCCAATTAAATGCAAATTAGTGGAAAAAACCTCGACAACTTTGTTATCCTGTAATTAGGATCGGATAGGGTAAGAAAAAGAGGTTAAGGCTTGAAAGTAGATTATATGATGGGTTTGCAATCATTTGAGATAGCATTCTTTAGAAAAACTTGCTCCGATCTAGGGTTGGAAAGAGATAAAATTTTGCCCCAATTTAATTCTATCCGAACTTCTCTATTTTCTTTTCTTTTTCTTTTTCCTCTTTTTTTCTTTTTATTCTTCTTTCTTTTCTCTTTTTCTCAAAAAGGCAAAATTGCCCCAGTATATGGTTAGTGATCCTAAGGGACTGCCATGCGAAAAAGTAAGGTGGTTCTAAAAAGTCAAGAAGGAAAAAATTAAGAATAGGATGTCGAAATGGAAAATGAGAGAAATTATGCTTTAAATCCGTCTCTAGCAGTAATTTTAAAGAAAAATTTCTATAATCAAATGAAAAATTTTTGCATATGTCTGCATTGATTTGTTGGGGAAAAAGTTATCCGTCCATTTTCATAAGAATAAGCACTCCTCTAGATAGCATTTCCTTAACAATGAATGGTCCTTGTCAATTGGGAGCAAACTTTTCTTTAGCCTCCTCTTGCATTGAAAGAATTCGTTTTAAGACTTTATCTCTGACTTCAAACAAACAAGGTTTAACTTTTTTGTTGTAAGCACGAGTTATTTTTTTCTGATAACATTGTCCATGACAGACAACATTCAACCTCTTTTCATCAATTAGAGACAACTGCTCATAGCGTTCCCTGATCCATTCAGTTTCTTCTATCTGAGTTTCCATTAAAATACGTAAGGAAGGAATTTCAACATTTGCAGGCAATACTGCTTCCATTCCATACATAAGAGAGTAAGGAGTTGCTCCGGTAAAAGTCCTGATAGTAGTTCTGTACGCCATCAATAAGTAAGGCAGCTTCTTATGCCAATCCTGATATGCCTCAGTCATCTTACAAATGATCTTCTTTAAATTCTTATTTGCGGCTTCGACGGCTCTATTCATTTGAGGCCTATAAATGGTAGAATTTCGATGCCTGATCTTGAATTGTTCACATAATCCGTCCACCATATCATTATTGAGATCCTTGGCATTGTCAGTGATCAATGTTTCCGATACCCCAAAACGACAAATGATATCATTTCTCAAGAAATTCGACATCACTTTCTTAGTCACATGCATATAGGATGCGGTCTCAACCCACTTTGTGAAATATTCAATCGCTACTAAAATGAATCGATGCCCATTCAAAATAGGAGGATCAATAGTTTAAATCACATCCATTTTTCATATCGAACATGGCAATGGAGCAGTCATACTATGCAATTCTGTAGGAAAAGCACGTATAACATTACCATGCATTTGACACTTAACACACTTTCTAAAAAATTTACACAGTCATGCTCCATAGTAAGTCAAAAATATCATGTTCTCATGATCTTTTTAGCCAGTAGATGCCCATTCATGTGTAGCCCACAAACCTCACTATGCACTTTCTTCATCATATAATCGACTTCCTCTTCATTGATGCATTTCAAAAGGCCCAAATCAGATGTTTTCTTGTATAACACTTCTCCATTCAAGAATAATCTTGATGACATTCTGCGTAAGAAACTTTTTGTAACAGAATCAGCATCAGGAGGGTAGGATCCCGTCTTCATGAATTCCTTAATATTATTGTACCAGGGGCGAACATTAAAGACCCTTTTCATAATGAGACAATGTGCTGGCCTATCCTGAAATTGAATCTGTATAGGTTCAATCACCAGTTTATCTGGATGTTGGATCATCGATGACAGAATAGCTAAAGCATTACCAAAGGCGTTACGAGTGCGGGAAATATGTTTTAGTTCCAAATTCCTAAATGTGTTGGCCAAACTAAGCAAACTACAATGATATAGAATAATTTTTGAATCCCGAGTTACCCACTGCTTAAGCGTCTGGTGCACAAGTAAATCGAAATCACTGAATGCTATCAGGTCCTTGATCTTCATGTCCAATGCCATTTTCAATCCAAAAATACAAGTTTCATACTCGGCCATGTTGTTGGTACAAGGAAACCGTAATTTGGCAGTAGCAGGATAGTGTTTCCCTTCAAACGACACTAAAATTGCTCCAATTCCAGCTCCAAAAGAATTCGATGTACCACCAAAAAATAACCTCCATCTAGGATACTGCTCACTCATGCCCTCAACTGCTCCAATAAACAGAATTTTTTTATCAGGAAAGTAGGTATGCAATGGCTGATAATCATCATCTCTTGAATTTTCTGTCAAATGATCTGCTATGGCTTGGCCCTTGACTGCCTTTAATGTTGTGAAGACAATATTGAACTCAAAAGGGATCATTTGCCACTTAGCCATACGTCCCGTGGGCATCGACTTTTCCAACAGATATTTTAGAGGATCAGAACGAGAAATCAGGTAAGTGGTATAATCGAACAAATAATGTCTCAACTTCTGAACTGCCCATGCTAAAGCACAATAACTTCTCTCAAGGAAAGAATAGTTGGCCTCATATGTTGTAAATTTCTTGCTCAGATAATAGATGACTTGTTCCTTTCTCTCAGATTCGTCATGCTGTCCTAGAATGCAACCAATAGCCTTATTGAGAATAGACAAATATATAATCAGAGGTCTTCCTGGCTGAGGCGGCACTAAGATCGGAGGATTTAACAAGTAATTCTTGATCTTATCAAAAACTTGTTGACAATTTTCATTCCAAACCATTGATGCATTCTTTTTCAACAACTTGAACAAAAGCTCACAGATACAGGTTAATTGTACAATGAATCGGCCAATGAAATTGATCTTTTCAAGAAAATTCTTCACATCTTTTGGATTTTCGGAATTGGCATATCTCAAATTGCTTTTATTTTCACAGGATCTATCTCTATACCTTTTTACTGACAATAAATCCCAATAACTTACCAGCCGGAGCTTCAAAAGCACATTTTGCAGGGTTCAATTCCAAATTATACTTCATCAATCTTTCAAACAGCTTCTTTAAATCAACCAAATGGTTCTCGACTTTTTTGGATTTAATTATGATATCATTCACATAAACCTCCATTTCTTTGTGAATCATGTCATGGAACAAGATAGTCATGATCCTCTGATAAGTAGCTCCAGCATTCTTTAACTCGAAAGACATCACTCGATAACAAAAGATTCCCCATGAGGTGATAAATGAAATTTTCTCTCTGTGTTCTTCTGCCATTAAGATTTGATGATACCCAACAAAACAATCACCAAAAGATTCAATTTCATGTCCAACAGTATTGTCCAAAAGAAAATGAATATTTGGCAAAGAAAAATCATCTTTCGGACTGCCCTTATTTAGATCTCTGTAATCAACACATACTCGCACCTCTCCAGATTTCTTAGGCACTGGCACAAGATTTGATAGCCAGTTAGGATAATGAGACACCATGATTATCTTGGCATTGAGCTGTTTCACAATTTGTTCCTTTATCTTGAGACTCATTTTTTATTCGAATTTACATGACTTCTGCTTTACAGGTAAAAATTTTGGATCAGTTGGCAATCTATAAACCATTATATCCGTAGAGATCCCTGCCAAATCATCATATGACCATGCAAACACATCTTGAAATAGCATTGAGAATTCAATCATTTCCTCATTCTGTTTCTTATTCAAATGAATGTTGACTTTAACTTCTTTAACCTCCGTCTTAGTGCCAATATTGATGATTTCTGTTTCTTCTAAGTTGGGTTTGGATTTCTCTTCATACTGTTTTAAATCCTTTGAAATGGACTCAAATTCTTCCTCAGTATCGCTCTCGTTTTGAATTTCAGATTGCATGATTTCAAGTTTATGAGAGATATCGAGATTGCTGCTATCGAATTCCAAAATGGTGACATCCAAAGGGTTAGAGGGTTTTATTTATGGCCATCTGAAAATAGAATAGAACATATATAATAAATAAATAGAAAATACAGGAGAAGTCTTCCATTTCATTAAATTCAAAATGCATCGAGACTTCACAAAAAGATAAATATACAGACATGATTGCTATTTAAAGACATATCTAGCCGAAACCTTTATTTTCGTTTCAACAATTTCCTTGAACAAAACAAATTATATTAACTGAAACGAGAATAAAGATTCAAAAAATGAAAACAATTTCTTTTAACAAAAGATCTATACTACCGCCCTATCTAGATATGAATCTAGACCAAAAGACAATCCTCTTAAATTTACTGAAACTCCCTTCAAGAGGGAAGATAATCAGCAGTCCAATTTTGAATGGCTCCTTCGGTAATAGGCAAAAATTCTGAATTCTCTGATGGCTCCTCCTCACAAGTGGCCCCGACAAATAATTGAAATAGGTCCACTTCAAACTCCTCCACATGATCCTTTGTTTCTGGCATGATCACTTCTGATGGATGAGAAAAAGTGTGATATAGCGGTGGAATGAATCGGACAATTTGCTTACCCTCCTTTTTAGTTTGTTTTCGAGCTTGCATTTCTCTTCTATTCTTAGCAGTTAGATGAAATCTCAATCCAAATGTATTCTTTTGCGTCGTAATCTCTATTGGCACCAAAATTCCTTTCAATTTCCGCCCAAGAGCTTTTCCTATTTCATATCCACCTCGGATCATCTCTTTAGCCATCATGATATTGGCCTCTGACAAATCTGATTTAGTCAGCAACTTATCTCTAGATACCCATCCCACAGAGACGATGTCAGCAACATGATGAGATGAAATTGGAGACATTTTTCTGTTTTCATCTTTGAATTTTGCATCAACGATCATGGTACAGTTATCCTCAGCAAACACAGTAATGAACTGATTATTCACAATAAATCTTAACATTTGATGCAGAGAAGATGACACTGAATTGGATGCATGTATCCAAGGTCTTCCAAACAAAATATTGTAAACACTGGAGAAGTCCATTACTTGGTAAGTAACTTGAAATTGAGCAGGGCCTATCTCCAATACCAAATCTGTTTCACCCATAGATTCCCTCCTTGAACCATCGAACCCTCTAACTACAATTGCAGACGGGCGGAGTTTAACGTCAAGAAATCCAAGTTTAATGAGAATGTTCCATGGATAGATATTCAGCGCTGACCCATTATCCACAAAGACTCTCCGCAACAACTTTCCATTGCAGCGGACTGATATATACGAGACTCTATTATGCCCGATCCCTTCTGTAGTCAAATCGTCATTGAAGAAGGCGATATGATTAGCAGCAAGTACATTCCCCACAATGTTAGAAAATTTATCGACTGAAATATCTTTAGGGACTTGAGATTCGTTCAAGATTTTGAACAATGCTTCTCTGTGTAGCTCGGAGATCAAGAGAAGATTCAAAAAAGAAATCTGAGCAGGCATCCTATCCAACTGTTCTACTATTTTGTACTCACTTCTCTTCAACATCTTTAAAAAATTCACAGCTTCATCTTCAGACACAAGAGGTTTGGGCATCGGAGATTTAATCTTGGCCCTGGACTGAACATCAATTTCAGAGTTTTTCACAATTCTCCCAAACTTAGTAATAGTAGATACCTCTTCCTTTAAGCATTTTTTTTAATCTTCAATCAACAGAATAGACTTCTCGTAGTTCCATGGCACCTCTTGTAAATTATTAATAGGCATTTGTTCCAGAAATTCAAGAATGACAGGCTCTGATATATTCCATTCCAAAGATGGTAAATGCAGAATAAAAGGAGCTTTAGAATTGTCAACCTTGGAAGCTCCCTCCTTCTACTATAAATGGCTCCTCTTTTTCAAACACAAAAGGTTTCAACTTTTCCTCAATATTATCCTTAGTCATTGACTCTTCAGTAGACAACAGTTTTCTCATTCTCACGTGGTCAGTCTCTATTACGCCAAACACCTCAATTTCATCTACAATGTACTAAGTTGGATTAATAAAATCTTCATTAGCAATGATCACTCCCACAGTGCTCCCATGCTCAGGTAAAGGATTTTTACTGACATTCAGTCCTTATTCTCCCCTTCTTCTAAGAAAGATGTTTTCAGAGTTAATCATATCTTGAATTTTATATTTTAGAGCGCAACAATTGCCAATGGTATGACCTGGGCTTTCAAAATAATAAGCACAAATTGCTTGCGCATCATAACCGGAAGAAACACATTTGGGGTAGAGTTTGGGAGGAACGGTGCCAATTTTTCCAACTGCTTTTAATTGCTCATACAATTGATCAATAGGTCAGCCCAAATTGGTGAAGGATCGAAATTGCTTCTGAGTTTGAATTTCGCTGGTTTGAAAAGAATTTTGAGAAGGGTTATTATTTTGCAGGGTTGGTCTGGAATGAAAAATGAGACGGGAGTGATTTTGAAAGATCGGTAACGATGAGATATTCAAATGACTTAGTCAGGAATGATAAAATTGGGTAGTAGTGTGGTAGACTGGTTGAGAGTTGGTGTAATACTGGTAAGGAACAGAATAGGTGGGATGATTTTGGATTCTGGGTCTGAAAGACGGGCCTTGATCTCATATAAAAGCAGTTTCTCCTTCTTTCTTCTTGAATGGGGGATTTTTTCCATTGTTGTTTTGATTTTGTAGAGCATCGAATTGTAATTTTAATGCCGATACATTAACAATCTTCCCTACTTTGACAAACTCATCGTATTCCTCTAACTTGTTAATAATAGCAGCAAACGAACTTCCAGTCATGCGAAAGATCTTTTCAAAGTAAGGTGGATCATGAGTTTTGATGAAAGCACGAACAATCTCCTCCTCAGCCATAGGAGGCTCCATTTTGGCAACTAACTTTCTCCACCACTTTGAATAGGCCTTGTGACCTTACGATGGCTTTCTTTTTGTATCCTCCAATGTTGTTCACGTCAGTGCCAACTCACAGTTAAATTCATATTGCTTCACAAAAGCTGTTGACAGATCCAACCAGGTTTTTACTTCGTCAGACTTCAAATTTGAATACCAATCTAGAGCATCTCCCTCCAAACTTTTCAAAAATAGACGCATAGGCAAATGTTCATCATCCACGGGTTTACCTAACTTGTTGGCGAATATCTTGGGATGCGTCTTAAGATTTCCAATTCCATCATACTTGCTAAATTTGAGAGTTTTGAATCCCAATGGTAGCTGAATATTTGGAAAAAGACATAATTCATCATAGTCCAATCCACCATGCCTGCTCAATCCCTGATTTTTTTTTCATAAAATCATCGAATCAATCCAACCTTCTCAACAGGTCCTTGTCAACAGGTGCGGGTTGTTCTTCTATCGCTGCCTTCTCTTGAGATGCAGTATCCAGTACAAAAGTCTCTGTAATGTGGTGGTGGGATCCTTGAGAGTTGGGAGGAATGTTCAGATTGGTTTGTGGATGGGTTTGAAGAATTTGACTACTGGTTGGATTCATCAATTTATAATTCAGATGCATATAAAAAAAGTTTGAATTTTATCGGGTAAACGTATTTTCAAGAGGATTAGCGAAAGTAGGAAGGAAAGTTATTTGGACATTAGATGTGTGGGGTGGTTGATGGTCTTGTACAGATGGATGATTATCGACAGGTTCTCGGTCGTTCGGGACACCACTACTACTGTTGCTTGCGACCAACTGATCAATTACACGCCTTCGTGCAGCCTTTTCAGCACTTAACTCATTGAACTTGCCAAGTACCTCACTTAACTAAGCTCCCAATGCTGTGAAACCTGGTGACATAACTATAGCAGATCTTTCAGAAGTTTCTGGCACTGAACTCATGTTTACAGGCTATCTCAAGGCTCTATTTCGAGACTTGGTTATGATAGGGCTCCTTCGTGAAGCTGTGTTTAAAATACCTGAGAGATTAAAGGAGAAATTAGTTCAGAAATTAATTCTCAACTAGACCTGCCGAACTTTTATTTCGAAAGAAAGAAAGAAAGAAGAAAAAGAAAAAAGAAAAAAGTTAGGAAAATTTTAGATAATTCGGATACATGTCCTATGGGGAGCCATTTTCTGCCAAAAGTAGGTCTAATATGATGCAACACCTTCGAAATGAGGCCTGTTCACCAAACCTGTGTTTCGAAAATAACTGTGCAAAAGATAAGGATCATTTCATTGATGAACTTTAAAATCTCATACATCATCTACATCATTTCTCGAAGTTGATTTCGTACAAGATCATTAAATTTTTTCAATCTATCTATCACAATGTCTTTTGACTCTCTGGAATAGGGATTCTGCATGTGTTTAGTTTGATTATATAACTTGCCACACTTTTTTTTTTCAACTCCTGGTGTCTTTCTTGCATTTCTTCACACAGTCTCTTATTCTTCTCTGCCAGACTCTTATTCACTTTTACAGATTAATTTCTTGACTTCCTTGGACTGTTCCATCAGTAGTCGCTCAGCATTAGATTCTTTGAACTACTCCTCGTATTAAGGGGTAACTAAAGCCATCTGCTTAAGTTGTGGAACATAAGCGATCTCTTCATCATCGAACAATGTCCCCCAAGTTTCGAAAATTGGCATTTTCATCAGAATTTTGTCCGAACAGATCCCTTTGTCAAAACTGATAGTGAAATCGAGCAAATCAGGTGTGAGTGGTACTCCTTGAATGCGTTCTAACTGTCTAAGAAACCTTTTTGGAGTGTATGCCATGATGCCTTGACTTCCCAATAGCGGTATAAAATCTGATGACTTGGCGCGCAGAGCGGGGTTGTAACATTCGGTCCAATCTAGTACCCATCTTATCTTTTGATCTGGCAATACCCTTAGAAAGTCCAACCATTTTGATGCATTTCTTGGCAAATTGCTTTTGTCAACTCTCTTATGATGGGTAACTATCCAATTATATCCAATCAACAGTAGACTATCAG